ATATGCAGAGACAGGTCGGCCGAGAAACCTAGCTCATGGCGTATACTGTCCATCTTTATCTATTCATTACGTACCACCCAGACATTCTGAACAGTCCTTGTAGCATAACCTTTTCTTCGGTTGCAGCAGTATCTTCCAGGCAACGCTAGCCCACAGTGTCTCACTGAACTCTGCGGCCATGGGGATATTGACAGATTCCAGCTGCAGACGTTCTATGTCCTCGTCCAAGCCCTGCGCCTTACCGGTAATGCATGATGCAGGCTCGGTGAATTCGGCTTTCTTGGACCGCTTTGTCTGCTCTTCTTTCGCACACGATTTCTTGGTCGAGTCTCTGTATTGTTCCGGAGACTGTGCATTCGTACTCTCCGTGGTGGTAAAGCTTGCACCAAGGAATAGAGTCTCTTTAGCGAGGGGCGCAAGTTTCTGCTCGAAGCGGAGAGTGAACTGGAAAGTGTCCAGATCTGCCATGCGCGTTAGTCTTATGTCAGTATCGCACCAATACCAAACTCACTCAGTAATGGCGAAAGCCGTCGCCTGAACGCACGCTTCCCCAGAGCCCTGTCAGCCCATCCGCTAGGGTCGATTGTCGCTTGCTTCTTGTTTGGTTCTTGAAGCTGCGGATCCCACTTGCTGCTCCTGATACCATGAAAGAATGCACTCTGTATCCACAACCTCAAATCAAATGTGGGGCTGTTCAGGAGTTGCGAGTGGTGGTCAGCGTGGCGTAAGAACACCCTGACGCCAAAGGCCAGTTGAGGCTGTCTGCTTGCTTCTGAAGCCCACTCGGAGAATGGCGCAGATGTTCCCGAGCAGCGCCATATTTCGAGAGGCCGTAAACGATAAAACGCCTCGAGTTCTTTGCGCATGTCGCCGGAGACCTCTTGGGACCCACTATGAAAGGTCACTTTAATGCCTTTGCGACCGAGGCTTGTAAGTAGGTCAAGGTAATCCAGCCGACCCAGATCGAAAGCGTTGCAAAGTATTATGAGTTGTTTACACGGCGTGTTGAAAGATAGCTCAACGTACTTGAGTCTCAGGTCGCCCACGGGGATTTCGTTTATTCTTTGCAAAAGGGCAAACGTCCATTTGTTACACGAGCGCAAGTGAAGGCGTTGGATAGTGAGTGGTATGACTTTGGAACGTGCCTCTGCTAAAGTCTTTTTAGCCGGAAGCGCATCATTCACACGTGCTGCAATAGGTTTGGCCGCAAGAGAGAAGACTATGTCGTCGGGGCGCCCAAGAATGCCCATGGGTATATCAAGCCGCTTCAGTCTTGCGAAATTCGCCAGTGTGATTATGTGCGACCCCATACTCCTCCATTTGGCATCGTGCGACTCAAGAACCTCGATGGTGGGCGGCCCTTTCCATCTGGTGTTCTCCGCGATTGTGAGAGCTTCGAGCTTGGCCTGGAACAGTGGTAACGCTGGTCCTTGGAATGGGGCACCGGGTAGCATCTCAAGATTTAGCGCTGGAAAGGCTAGAGGTGCCCGCTGAAGCGAACGTGGCGGTTGGCTGGAGAAAAATGGCCTCACTTCCGGTAGCTGAACAGTCACCGATTTGATGGTGGGACACGATATCGCGAGAAGATTAAGGTAAAGCGCTGGTTCCTTCTTCCATATGGTACCGACTGAGGCGTTGCTTTCCCAAACCCGGCTCCAGTCCAGGGTATGTCCAGTAGTCGTAGAGATGGCTGCGCCAAGACCTTCCAGTGTGTCCAGGTCGAGACTGTTTCCATTCGCGCAGAAACAGCCTACGTGGTGACTGCACCCGAAATCCCCAAGATTGATACTGAGTACCTTGCTAAGGAGTTCCGGCTGATAGCTAAGCATTCGCAAGAAGCCTTTGATGTTCCTCCCCGACACGATTAGCTCTCGCACGATGGTCTTTTGAACAATTTCTCCAAGACGTTTGTTAACCAGTCCAAAATTACAGATGTGCGTAGTGCCGAGCATGTTGGAAGCTACCATTTCAAGGAGTTCGGATGGGAGGCGCAGCATTCCGTTGTTTTGGACAAGGTGGGTGTCGACTTCGTCCAACAGCGCAGACGTATCGTGCTGGCCGCCATCTTGGGAGTCCTCGGGGCTGAATTCTGGTATCGCGGCTTCCCGTGAGAGAGGTGGTGTCTTGACTCCGTTTGCGGGACTCGCTACGCGTCGCTTCCTGGGACTAGAGCTGAGTGGCGTCATCGGCGCCATCGCGGTATGAAGAAAGTGAGATGTGGTTTGGGTGGTTGAGTTGAAGCGCAGATTATCGCGCTGGTATACTGGTATTCTGGCAAATATCCATTGGCGCATGTGAGTACTGTGGGTCAGTCACAAGGGCGGCTACCGCGGTACCTGCATATGGTCAGTTATCGGGTGACGTAATCGAGTGAATGTAGTGGGGTATTACTTGAAAGACCTCCCTAGACTGTGAAAGAATCTCTTCGCCTCGTAGCTTAAAGGTAAAGAAAGTGTATAGCGCAACATGTGTACCGTGGCTGCTCGTTGACTGAGGTGCAAGGAGGGTGTGACACGTCCGCGCCAAGCCGCTAGTATACAAGCAGGTGACTCGTTCCAATGCTCTTTCCATTGACACGCATGCCCTACTAAGATAAGAAACGATAGCTACGCGCACATTTGGGTATAAGGATATTCAATTCGTGTCGCTTCAAACCTTGCCAAATACTGCAGTATCGCGTCGCATCCCTGCGTCATGTTACTTCTTCACTAAAAGACAGGGCTCACATGCCCAAGACCGACAGTGGCGATGAGATGTACTCTTTCCAAAACACATTGATCCATCAAATTACCGACTTTATACCACCTACATCTCCTTCGTTATAACCCTAAGAAATTGCAGCTCCTTGGGCTTATGCGCAGAATGCCAATTAGGGTCAACCAAAGGGGCGACAGTAAGCACGTTGCCACTCTCGTCTTCAAGTTTGAAGTCAAAGGTAGCAATAAAGTACGCCGTGATAACATTTTGCTCGAGTTTCGCAAAGCGCATGCCCAAACACGGATGCCGTCCTGACCCCCAGCCAAGGAAGCCATGTGCTGCCTTCTTCTTGTCTTCCGCACGATCTGGCATGTATCGAGCCGGATCCCACTTCTGTGGGTCGGGATAGATCTCTGGATCGTAGTGTATGTCGCCCGGGGCGTATGTGACGAATGCGCCGGGTGGTATGACTTCGTCGCCGTTGCCCGTGGGTATGTTCTTGCCGCTAATGTTCCGCCTGAAGGCTGTGCCGAGCAGGTTCAGACGCAGGGAGTCTCGCAGACACATGTCGATGACTGGGAATTCGCCTTCCCATGCCTCTATAGGTATGTCGTCGAGCTGCTGGAGCAAGGGTGCGTTCGGGTTCTTAGCGTACCTCGCCGCATTGCTGCGGACCTCGTTGTTCGCTTTGGCGAGCCACTCGGGTGAGGTCGCTAGATAGGACATAACCTAGTTGATATTAGCTTACATTCTATCGATGTAAGGTATAAGGGGGCTTAAAAGTACTCACCCAGGCTACATTGATACCGCTGTTGAGTAGACCAGCGAACAACGCTCCAATGACGAACTGAGAGACTCTCTCGGCGCGATCACCCTGATCCAGCAAGTACTGCAGCGCATCATCGTGCTTCTCGTCGCTTGCCGCACGCTTCTTGATGATTTTGTCGATCATCATATAGAGTTGCGCTCCTGCCCAGTTCCGTTTCAAGAGAGCCGGTGAAGGGAGCTTTGGGAACAAGACTGACGTAGCGGTAGAGCTGCTTTCGATCGTCTCAAACATCTTTAGAACCTCCTCTAGCATCTGAGGGTCTTCGGCAATCTCAGTAGCGCCCACCATGCGGATGGTGAGGCGGAAGACGATCCGGTACAGGCTCTCGAAGGGATTGGTGCGGCCGCTGGGCTCATTCTTGATGGCTTCGAGAGCTTGCTTTGTGTCGGATATCAAGATAGGCAGCTTGCGACGGAATTGGTCGTTCTTCAAGAAGAAGTTAAGACGGCGATGGAACATGGCGCTGAAGCTGAGATTATTGTCCTCGGCGGTAATGGTCCTGGAAACTTTGGGCGAGTTACCGAACAACACAGCATATCCTTCGGTGAAGCCCAGATCTTTCGACTCGAAGAACAGCTGGCGCCCTTTGTCTCCTGAAAGCGCAACAATCATGTTCGACCCAGCATGGAAAGAGAATGTTCCCGTCTTGGACTGGTCGCGTCGCTCGCTCCACCATTCCCATCTTCGGGTCCAGAAACCTAGAGCTCCGACGACTGGAAGATCGTCTTTGACTTGAGGTGGCGCATTCTTAGGGACGCGATGCGAGTAGGATAGTGCGCCTATAGCGCACGCTGTCAAGGCTAGCCCGACTATTGCGAAGAAGAGGGGGTTGATATTTGAAAACCGTTGGAGGACATCAAGTACCGCCATCTTGCTGGGGGAAATGAGCGACCAGTGACTGTAGTGAGTAGCACAGGGGTTTATGAACTTCTTGGGTTTCGCCGCGCTGAGAAGGGGTGGAGGGCAACCCTGATATACATAATGAATGCAGTCGCAAAACAAGCGCGGCCTAGCTCTTATGTGGAGCTTGAATTCCAGAAAAGTACTGCTGCAGGATTGGCGACGCCAGGCGCATCATGGTTCATATCTCATCGGTGCTGCGGCAAGCGTGGTAGTGGAGCTGCGCATGGCAATATCAAGCGAGTGTTAGAGTGAAACAGTAACAGGGTTACGAACTGGCTGATATACTCAGTGGCGACACAATCAGCATGCTCGCTCGTATCACTACTGGCGTTTGTCTGGAAAGATGCAGATGTGTGGTCGCTTGCCGCTGGTCCGTACATTCCCGGCCCGTCCTGCAGTCGTGATTCCCGGAATTCCAGCCACAACTCATACAACCATCGGCCATCGGTTCGGCACTCGGTTTCCGATTGGAAGTGTCTAAACGAGACACACCAAGCACACGGCCACCGGATAATATACCTCGTCTGCAATGGCTTGCATAGACGAGAGCCCGAGAGGGTGGATCCGATAGTCACCACAGCACCTTCCTTTTTGATCCTGGCACTGAGGAAGCTGCAGCTGAGTAGGATCCATGGTCTTTTCCTGCATCTTCTCGAGAAGAGTGAGGACTCCAGGGCCCTTGCTCGCTAAGGAAGCGAGCCATCGGATTAAAGTCGGCATAGCACTGCTGTTTGCACCCGATTGCCATGATGTGAGCAGGTGTGAGCTCGCGCGCAACCTCGTTGTATCCTCCCCTCCCTCTCCCCCGTCTAGTGCAGTTGTCACTGCCCATAGCATCGACGGGCACGGCGCGAACAGAGATGCCCATGCCCATGCCTATACCCATGAGGTCGTGCTCCATACTGTTCGGACCTGCTCCTTGTGTGTACTTTCGTTGTGTACCGACATGATCTACTGAGACCAAGTTCCGTTCGGGATTTCTTGTGGGCTTCTGCGACGTGCCTGCTGGTCGATACCGAGGATGCTCGACAATGATACCGTCAGGCCGCTTGACCGCGCGGTACTTCTTTGTAGAGCGCCGGGGTTGGCTCTCAAGTGTCATTGTAATACTAAGGTCGGCGTTCAGAGGCAGGCTCTGGGGGATTTGCTCGTTCGGTTCGATCGATGTTGACGTGTGTCTTGGTTCGCGCATGTGGACGTGAGAAGACTGGTGTGAGACTGATTGTGTAGTGAGGGTCTGGATATGTGGTATCTGTAGATGTGGTGATAGCTTTCTTCATGTCAGTGTACAGTGCTTGTCCTTTGTATACTGAATGTCAGCGCATCGCGCAGTATACCCAACGCCGTCGTCAGCGACGTAACCATGGTCTGAAGAGTCCAGATCTCTCCCATCGAGATCATAAACTCTCCACCTCCCTCATCTCACCCTCTCTGGCACGACAAGCACGTCGTAAGGTAGATGCCTTGCGCACAAGTGAGCCTGATCGACGTTATACACACCACAACGACATCATATCAGGTCCTGCGGTTACGACGATGGCGGTCTGGACCCGTGGATGCGCCCTCTATCCGTCTGCAGCCCTATAGTATGCGAGCCCGTTAGAGCACTGCAGCTCTGTCCGACATTTCGGTATATTCAAAGCTTCGACCGACGTCATATCGAGTGCGTCGCACGGGAATCTAGACCATCAGAGCGACAATTGCGCTGCTGAGCCCCTGTCGCGTCTCGTGGCCGTGAAGGGGTGCGCCTCAGCTCAAGCGCGTGCGGCCACACAGCCCCCTGCGCAGCATCGCGAACATGTCGTCATATGTGAAGCTGGCAGCTGGAATAGGCTTCGTGAGATCGTCTGCGCGGGTATCGGGGGCAGGCGTCTGAAATAGCCAGAAGGTCTAGATTTTGATATCGTGGGGGGCCAGAAGGCAGAAGATGGCGAGGGGGAGGCAGGAGGGATGGAGCGAGTGGGACCGGTAATGATGTCAGGGCGCGTGCGCAACAGCAGACGGGGGTGAGCAACCCATCGCTTCTTCACAACACCAACACGACGCCTGACACTACATCACTGCAACAATCCTCACATTAACCTTAGCTTTTTTTTATCCGTCTTTTTGTTTTTGCTAAATGATCTGCTTTTCGAGTCCACCGCAGCTTCATTGGACAAGGCCCACCTTACGTGTCTGCTGTCACCCATTTTCACAGACTCAGGTCGTCATTCCATATCGAATTGTCGCAATAACCCCTTCCAACTAATACTTCACGTATCAGGCCCACTTATTAGACAGCCCCGTGATACTGTCGAAGACGGCGCCATCAAGGAGACCTTAGCACATAGCCAAGTGCTGCCATCATCTCAGGTTCCTTCTCTAGCTGATCATGTGTAGTGGCCAGACACTTCTCGATGACAGGGATGAGATCACCGGGTGTATAATGCCTTTCTGGCTGTCTCGCGTCCGCGTAAAGTTTCCTAGTATTCCAGGCGGTAGTCAGGTTACCGCTCGGTGCCTCCCATCCTATCTCGCGGAATTTAGTAGTGCCAAAAGCGGTGGTTAGGCTAACACGCGATGCCCGCCATCTCCGAAGCGCAGCCGGGAACTCCTTGTTGTTGGAGTAGTGAATGGATCTATAATGCCAGCCCATGGAGACGATGTTATACGGATACAGCAGCTGGACTTCGCGCAATCTTGGAAAGTTGACATCATCAGCTATCAGATTGTCGAGCCACTGTGTGCCTGGCCATAAATTCTCATGGCTAATGCTCGTGCGGAGAGACTCGAGGGATGAAGGGAGTACGTGGCGAAGCTCAGCCGTTGCTGGGTCACGAATGCGATGTCCGAACGTAGCCCTGTCGTGGATGCATAGCTTGTCGAACAGGTATTGGTATGGGATCACCAGCCGCTTGAGACTTGAAAAGTCTACCGGGTCCAGGCCCATGATCAGACTGTTGTGCATATATTCACTGACAAGACTAACTTCGACAGTGATCTCCTCGAGTCGCGCTTGAAGATCCGATCTCCCTTGTCGGATTGGTCGATGCGTTGATATGGTTGCAGGCTTGTTGTGACAGATGAACGAATTATATGCGTCGTTGACTTCATCGAAGATGGTGCCTGACATCCCACTGAAGGATGTAGCCTTCAGACTATGCGCAAGAGTTAAGAGAACGGTCATGCTCTCGAAAAAGCATACTGTCGATCTTTCCGCGTCTGTCGTGCCTTGCTCATAGCAACCCCTGCTGATTTTCCATGCGGTGTAGTGTTTTCGGTATGAATCACGCGCAACGTCCATCGTCATTGGTCCGAGACGAAGATGGGTGAAGGACGCGACCAGATCTGGGTGTATTTGCAACATCGCGTTCAGCTTCCACAGGTTTGCGGGCTCGACAGTCGCTCGCTTGATAAGACCTTCCTGTGCTATTGGACGTATACGACGGCAAGTGAGCGAGAGAGCGTGGAGGTCTACGATTTCGACTCCGCCAGTGATACTGAGCAGGAGCTCATCGGGAAGTCGCAGTATCGCGGTCCTGAATTGCGACATGGCGGCGGGTTGTGAGTTGAATCTATTCCGGAAGTACAGATCTGTTGGTTTTGATTGTGTAAAAGGCTGGATTGTTTAATGTTGCTTGTGGCCTTGAGCCACGCTCGAGCCACGCTAACTGCATCGGGTAGGCTTCTGGTGGTGAGAGAGGAAAGAGCTTTTGGCAGTTGCACAATCGTAACGCGATTCACTATGGAACTTGCTAAACTCTACGGACCTCTCGCCCGAGTTGTACCGTGTCAGGCCACGTGCGCGAATTGTGGTCAGCGGACACTTTTAATTACATCCTTGCACTCGTCCTTCGCCGGGATCATAACACTGACTCTACCTCGACTGCCACATCAGTGGGCTACAATACACCTCATATGAGCGCACATTTCAAGCCATTTACCGCTCCTTCACCGGATCTGGAGGACTTGGGAGCGCCTAACGAAGCTGCACTCGCGTCAACAGCGTACCCTGGCGTCAATATCCCCATATAATACTAGTCGACGATCGAATTCCAAGGATATACACCTTCCATGACTTGCTACCTTCGACTACGACAATTGAATCACCACTCTGAAGCACCCGTTCCGATCGAATGGAAGTCCTTGTAGACCACATCTTCAACATGCTCAAATGCGTGAAGATCGGCTCCGCAAATATGTTAGTCAATATCGGTAAACTGGTTGTCGTTTTCGTTGCGGCCCCCATACTCTACCACTCTCTCGTATCTTACTTTCCACAATGAGTACCCTGGAAAAGTCACTCTCTCATGTTCTGTTCAGTACACGATACGCTTACCAGTTTACCTACGTCAATCCGGCGGATCTCATCGAACAAGACTGCTGGATATGTCTGCGCACGTACTTTAGCCAAGAAGACGACGAGGAGGAGGGAAGTGACCCAAGACCCGAATGCCTACCCATAAGGCTACCATGCGGACACATTGTTGGCCAGCACTGTTTCGAGACCTACCGACGCGCCACCAACGATGTAGAACAATGTCTCCTGTGTCGCCAGAAGCTCCTTCCACTATTCCCTCGGACCAAAACCACTGCTCTTCTCGGCAGGGTATGTCGAACACCCTGGTTCCAGTGGCACGACCGCAAACTCGGGTGGACCCCGTTCGGCGTCGAAGAGATGGATGCATCGAGCAGCGAGATCAAAATGTACAACGGCGAGGTACTGACATGGTTCGACGTATTCATCATTATCGTGCACGACGAAGCCTCGCGCGCCTTTCTATACATCACCCTTCCCATATTCACCATCGTCGCTCCTATCGCGGTCTTCTGCCTGGCTTATCAGCGATTCGGGAATACACCTCCCTCATACGTCGCTATCCACGATCCAGCTTTGCACGTTGCGTATGGCACATACTCGTACGGTGTGATGGAACGATTCCCTGAGTTAAGACTCTTATGCGACATTGCAACTGGACATGCAATCTATGACCGCTCGCGTTCTGGCGCGCGTTCTGGCGAGGATGTCGCACCTGCCGTTTTCTTCATAATTGCAGGCTTTGCGTTCACTCGTTTGACATACGAAACACACTTTCCAAGGTCCAGTAGGAATATGTTAAAGTTTCTAGTGTACGGACGGCTGGCGTATGCTGTGTTGGGATTTAGCGTCATCATGAGCTTTGGGTTCTTAGACATATTTGCGTACCTGACTGTGGCGACTTTTGTCGTCCTAACTGCGAATGCGCGGGCAAGAGGAAGTATCCAAAGTGCATAGCTTCTGGAAGGAGCACGAAGCAAGAGTAGGCAGCTGAACTAGAATGTTGACTCTTACAGTGCGAGAATGAGATTCATATAGTTCGACATGTAGTACGAATGCACCAGAACGATCTTGAACAGTGTTTTTTTGTAATTGGCATTGTGAATCATGAACACCTCTTTTGTCTTATTACGACCTTCATACGTACAATCTCCGTGAACCGCTTATAATTCGATCATGCCTCGTTCACGTCACAAGCTCAAGGAGTCCTGATCACCATACCTAGGCATCCGAAACCAACATGTCCATGATTAGCAAACCCTCACTTCTCGACCTACCCAACGAGCTCCTCCTCCAGATTGCCAGCTACCTAGAACCCGACGTGAAAATCGACAAAGACGCTGGCTACGGTTCGCCCACTTGGCTTCCTCTCCATCCCAAAGATCCGCCGACAGCTACACTTCCTCCGAGTGCCACAGAGACACGGCAGAAACATAGAGAAAGCACGCAACCACTAGTGAATCTAGCATTGACATGCAAGCGGCTTGCACCCATAGCGCAAGAATTCTTGTTCAAAAATGTATCGCTACCGCGCCAATTACAAGACCGCGAACCGTCGTACGACGGCTTTTATGCATCACCGATGCTGCATTTCTTGCGTACAGTCATCGAGCGCCCTGATCTTGTGAAAAATGTGGACAATCTAGCGATATGGTTATGGCAAGGTGTACCTATACGGCCGTTGCAATACCTGAGCGAGTCGTCGGACCATGAGCCAGGAAGTTTAGCAGCAAAGATGGCCAACATTGTGTATACTCTTCCCGATGGCTCCCAGCGATCCGGCGCAGGTCACGCGCGATGGATACAGAGCCTCTCCTGCCCGAGCGAACTCATGGTCGCTAGTTTGATATTGGCGTCTTTGCCTCAACTGCGCGCCGTCGAGATCTACGCCAAAGCAGCTCCTAGTTTTAACAACGTGTATGGAAACCTTGGCTGGTTTCTCAGGCGAGAGGAAGAAACTGGCATTCGTCGGCTAAGTCAAGGTTTGGGCATGACGACTACAAAAAGTCTGACTTTGTCTACCAACCTTGATTGGTTATGTATCAACATGAGCAGTCTCACACATCTGACCCTGGACTACAACGGGCGGCACCCATTTGCAAATTTCCTCAAGGAAGACATCGCGCTCATCACAGACCTGACTATCCTCTGGGAATGCAATGACAATGTCGATCCATTAGGAAGGTCACAACGTGCGAATGCAAAGAAGCTCAGGTACTTGTGCAGAAGGCTCGAAAGTCTACACACGCTTCGTTTCAACTCCTCAGCGTACTTGCTTACAAGGAAAAGACCCCCCCACACGATGGAACGTATAGTCTTTCAGCCAGCTGACGCGTTGGCTTTCAAGTTTGCGGAGAAGATTTGCGGTTGTGCTTTGGGTTATCGCCTCGATAGGTTGCGTGTTGTTGAGCTGCATCGGTTGATCGATGGGCCTGTGCCTGCTACGGTTGTGCTGGAAAATGTTCGGACTAGGGATGCCGTGACTGGGCAGGACGTGTGGACTGTGTGGCGGTCTGAGCCGGGCTGTCACCCAGTGAGTACTGGTCGTCTATCAACAAACAAAAATTTTCAACTCGATGATTAGAGGTAACGGGATGTCTTGAAGATCGTAGTTAGCAAGCCACAAATTGACACATTGGTCGCGGTTGGGTTCTGACGAATTGATAAATCGCGTCTTTGTTGCCAATGATACTCTTCTTTAACGTTTATTTATCATCTACCAACTACTCATTGGCGCCTTCACCAGAAGTTCAGCGCAGCAGCACCAGCAAGGGCTAGCAGCGCCGAGCCCTCAATGCCGTACTTGTGAGCGGCACCGGTGCTCTCAGGCAGAGACGCGGACGCCGATCCAGATCCACTGGCAGCAGGTGTAGACGCTGAAGCGGAAGCCATGGTGCTAGTCGGCATGATAGATCCACTGGGTGTCATCGCGCCCGTGCTAGCACTCCTCATAGTAGTAGCAATAGTGCTGCCAGCTTGCGCTGAGGCAGTCATGCTGGTCGCGGCACTTGCGGCAGGAGTCAAGAGGCTGTTTCCAGCAACGACGGTCGCAGAAAGGAACTGCACGTCATCGCTGGAGAGTGTCGCAGTGATGGGTTTGCCGCCCGTATCGTCATTGCCACCAAGCTGGTTCACCGTGCAAGTCATCTCGACTGCCTTCTCGTTGTAGTCGCATCCGAGGCTCATGGATATCGTATCGGTAGACATTTGGGCTTGGAAGCGCGTTTGCGAGAGGATGGTGACATCGAGGCCTGGGCCCCAGCCGCACTCGCTATCGTCGACGCCCGTGGGGCATGCGATGTGGAACTCGGTAGTGGAGGGGTTGGCGGTGTTGATGGTTGCGACAGGGTCGATGCCGTCGTAGCCTACGCTTGTTAGCCTTTGATCTGCGGTGTTCCTCGGACTAGAGTGACGTACCACCAGGGAAAAAGAAGCTGACGACGTCTTCAGCACAAGCCGCGCTTGCCAGGATGGAGAGGATAGCAATGGATTGACGCATGGTGGGTTTGGTGGGTCTCGTAAAAAACAAGGATTAGATTAGGGTATAACGGTCGGAGTTGCGCAAGTACAAAGAATGACTGGATTGGGTATAAATGAGTGTGTGGTCGCAAAAACGACTGACGATACGAGGAGCTGAGGCTTGACGGCGTGCAGACGCCCGTACGAGGAGGCGCATTGCTACTTAATATTTTCCCCTGACCTTGGTAGCAAGGCTTGTTCGGCTAGTTGCCGCAGACAGGCTGAATGCTAGTGTCGATCTGCGTTAGCCGTGTGGGTTATCTTGTGGGAAATTAGACAATGCCATCCAGCGGAGCTATCCAGCCAATTAATTTTGCAAACCTAGCAGGTATAGGGTGCGTTGTCATGCTCATAGTGCCGGTAGATGAATTTGACAAGAGTTTGACATGGTTCCCAGACGTTGTTCACCGGTTCCCACGCGCGAAGATCGCGGATCCAGAGCAAGGGATTGTTCGTTCCGGTTTGTTTGTAAAGGCAGTCTTCTACCGATTCGGTGTACGCTTAGGAGGCAGCGATCCCTTTGGCGCGAGCGTTATCGATTTTCGGAAGCAAGTGAGCGAGATTATAATCCCCTCGGCCGTAAAAGCTGCTGCGCGATTCGAGGAGCAGGTCATCTGGCGATGCGCGGCGCCGTGGCGAAGCGCATAGCCTTCGAGAATTTCATGGCACCGGCAGAAACTGAGACGTTATTCTCGCCGGCCGAGGCTTGGGAAAACCAGTTTCAGGCCGCGACCATCGGACGAACGTGCGGATTGCCGATCATCGGCTTTTTCAGATTTTGTCGCATGGTGAAGAGCGTTTTGTCACCCCCTGGGCATGTTGGACAAGGGCAGTTTGGTGAAAGGGAGAGACGCGTGATGATCGTTGTGCGGAGAACTGCAGGAACAACCGGCAGCTGCCCCACATGATAATCACCGTAAGGTCCGATAAGAGCAGCACTGCACGCGTGCAATAACACCAGCCTGGGCAAAGAAATCCCTTTGAGTCTTCTGAGCCATCTTGCGACATACGCACAATTCGTATCAAACTGGAATTGCGGCTAGTTGTATTATCAGCAACCCAAGGCTGGCCAGCGTCGTGAACCCCGCATGCCCAACTCGCCTTAGCATGAGATGGCATCTCCCTCAACCGCGTCGCAAACGACTAACGGTATCCTCATCCTATGGGGATCTGTTGACTCTGCCACAGTTGATCCAGATGCGCTGAACGATTGGTGGACTAACGAGCACCTCCCCGAGCGCGTATGCCTCCCGGGCTTCCAACGCGCGCGCCGTTACCGCGCACATAAACCAAGCGATGGCCTGGATAACTATCTAGCCCTGTACGAGACTTCACGCGTCCAAGATCTCGCATCTGCCGAGTACCTGCATGCGCTCAACCACCCGACGAAGAGGACAGTTCAGTTCATGCCATGTCTGGCGCAGATGAGCCGCTTCGCGTGCGAGAGGATCTGGTCAAAATCCTCATCGATCTCGAAACCCGATCATGCGACCAGCGACAACGGGTGGCTTTTGATGCTGGTGTTTGAGGTCGCTAATGCTACCGATGATCCAATCTCTCGTATTGATGACTGCCTCAGGCGCAAAGAGCATGGCGTGTTAGCGGAAACAACGCATACTCAGATTGCAAAAGTAAATGCAGATATTACAAGAGTAGGAACGACGAGCAAGTCTTACGACAACGTCCAGTTCAACAACTCGAGTGATGGCGATGGCTCAAAGCCGGCTGACACCTTCATTGCATTATTCGAGTTTGAGCGCAGTGCTGACGGCCCAGGACATACCCAGTTTCCAAACAGCGAATGGCTTGCATCTCTCACCACCGTCTTGACAACCGCTGGGCTACATATTCAATATCTCAACACCTACACGCTCCTAGCCTCGCTCGCCAAAAACCAGATCGCGTGCTGACAGCTTGACACGACGTCCGCCTACGCCAGGCTGGCCGCCTAAACTACGCGACACGCTTGCGGTATCGCGCGCCCCAGTTCCAGGCACCCGGCCCAATCGCGCGCCACCTCCCCACCAGGGCGCGCGAATTTGAGTATAGAAAGATGCCAAATTTGGGATTCTGAGGTCTGTGGCTGGCAGGGGTATGCATCCCGTTGTCCCTGAGGCGCAACCGGTGAAGCTGCCAGCCCCACGATAAAGAACGCTGCAAGGCCCGCATCGTGTGCTTACATCTGCGCCCTCACATCTCTTACCACCACGAAAGTAACGGCGTATCTTCTACCAAGATGCCGTCCATGAACCTACCCACAAGCTTCGGGCCCTTCTCAGTCCTCCCTCGCGATGCTTCTCCCCGCTTGCGCATCATCCAAAACTGCCAAATGGGGGTCGCAGTCCTCGCCGTGGTCGCCGCCTTCTTCACCCTCGTAATCCCATCGGAGCGCAAGTTCTTCACGTTGAGCCTCCTCTACACGCCCCTCCTGACCTCCATCACTACCGTCTACCTCGTCCGCCGAGAACAGAGGCGCGCCGTCGCTGGCACCCTCTCCAAGCAGAGATATATCAAGTACCAGTGCTTCAAGTTGGCGGCTGCGATTGGCATGTCGATCATAGGCTTCATCGGACATATCGCTAGTACACCGGCGAAGGGAGATGCACACTTTGCTGGAGAGCGGGGGCTGTGGATTAGCGGAATCAAGATCAACACATGGCAGGGACTGTTGCTTTGGTTGAACTTCTTCAACTGGTAGGTCATCATCTTCCGATGCAAGGAGTGTTTGTACTGACAGAATTGCTTTCTTAGGGTCTTCCTGTGGGCTAGCTTGTTCTACTCTTGCTGCATGACTGGTAGACAGCAGGGCTCCATTGCTCTCACTGGCGAGGAGGCACGTATTGGCATCAACCCTGAGGAGGCTGACGACGAGGCTATTGCTCGTGCCCTTCAGGCTGAGGACCCCAACTGGCAAAGATAAGGTGGTCCGATAGAGCCGGTACCGGAGTGGTTTTGTAGATGATAAGAGCGGGAGACGTCGTTTCCCATATCGCGTACCACATGAAACGCGTCTCTCTACACTTGGACAGCGTGCACTATGGCTCCAAGTAGAACGCAACATGACGGGGAGGTTGATCAGATGACAGAGATCTAGTATAGCATCGTAAACACACTCCTTCGATCAGTCTCTTCATAAGGATGGATTCCACATTTGCGTAAAACGTTACTATCTACTCCCCCCTCCCAATGCCAAGTGACCACATACCCTCCCCTCCTAAAGCACCAAAGCCACCCACCCAAGAACTCCAACAACAACCACCGGCACCCCGACCGTCCCAGCAGCATCCGTAAACCCCGGCAGACCCGAAGCACTCGACGTGGACGAAGTCGGTTCAATAATAACAGTCGCCGTCGTCGTATCACTAGCACTAGGAGCAGGAGCATACGGAGGCGCAGCACTGCTCTCCTCACCATCAGAAGCGACACTGCTCGGGGCGGGCACGAAATCCGTGGCCGTAGCGGTTGATGGCTGGGGCGCAAGCCAAGTAGTGAGTTCTATGAGGCCGGTCTCACTCGTCGAAGGTGCTGACTGAGAAGGCATAGAGGAGCTTAGGTCAACGGTACCGGTGACGCTAGCGAGGCTGGAAGGGATCTGCGTGATCACTGAGACGGTACGCGTAGTCGTGATTGTGGTGAGGGCCGTGGAGCACGAGTCGTCGGAGCTGATGTCGGTAGGCTCTACAGGCGGTGGCATCGCAGGGTAGGACTCTATGTGCACTGAGTCGGGGACGGGAACGGAATCTGAGGTTGTCAGTTTGGGGATTGATATGATTGGGTGGAAGGGGTGTACATACATAGATCTGACTCTGCTCTTTTCTTCTCAATGCGAGCTTCGCCCCGAATGCCTTCTGCTGCGGCAAAGCCGATGGCCATGAAAGCGACGAAAGACAGATGGTACTTCATGTTGAAACTCAGTGGGTTCGATGTACGGAACGTTGGTGAAGTTGCTCGATTGCTAAGTCCCACGTTCAGGTGGGTTTAGGTGCGTATGAAGAAGTATCAACAGCCGGCACGATGGGGTGATGCCAGTTCTTATATTTGGATATCAAACAATCATTTGATTCATTCTCTCGTGGTACCTACGTGCTGCGCATCTCTTACCAGGCAACATCATAACACGGAGTACCAAGCGGGAAGACAATCTCTTTCAGTCAATAGTCTTCGGTTATCGGCTAGGTATACCACGCGCATGTTTCCTCTCGCGGCATGTTTGTTTCACAGCCGTAAGTACCCATAGCGCTTGTACGAGCCAGTCTGACCAATGGATTTATTCTTGATTAGCGGCCAAACGAAAGAACAGTTTAGATCAGGGGTATTGCGGTACGTATGCGTTGTTGCACTTCCTCCCAATAGTCTGTGTGAAAACTCTTTGAGGGCACACGGACAAGCAGCCGCCCGTGACACGTTTTGTGCGGTAATCTTGTAGTAGTAACCCCCAATACTATGGGAACAGCCTTGGCCCAAACAGTGTGTCGTTCAACCAGCAACATGGCTGGTCTCCGGTACGTGTGCGCATTACTCTCGCATCTGTAAACTCGTGCGGAGGATTGATAAGTGTATGCGCCACTTCCTCAAGCCCTTGGGGATAATCATCGTGTGCTCACGCGACACGAAGACGCTGTGTGACATGAGAAGCCTGCATGCAGCCTCGTACCTCTTACATGACGATCAAGGGGCGTATGTAATGGCGATTTGTTGAGGCGATGCGATTTGCTTCAAACTAAGCAGCATCACTGGTCCCATCACGCATCCCTCTGGTAGGTCAATGGTCCCGGTTCGTGTTGAGTGGGCTCGGTGCGATCCGCAGTCGGCAACATGACGTACTACTAGCGTCAGGAGGATTGTACCCCTGGTCTAAGTAGTTGCTAGGTGATGAATGTAGCATTCGCACGAATTGTTCAACCAACTTCCGACGTGTTTGCTCGAGTAGGAAGATGTACTGCCGCTGGCATGGGGATGCTTGGTCCTCCATCTAGACTTCTGGTCCTGCTCGGCACCTTCCTCTCCTGACGACAGTTCTCTTGGTGGGTTCTCGTGTTGTTCTTCGCTTCAGAGCTGAGATCATCGCTGCCAACCATATCAGGCTCCTTCTCCGCCCTAGGTTTCCAAGACGGCAGTTCGTAATCAGGCACGGATGTGCTACCTGTAGAGGAATCTCCCGGTTTTCTCATGCGGACATCTTCCTGCGAGAACGAGATATGGTCGCTGCCGAACAAACCGCGAATGAGCGAACGTCGTTGCTGTGGTACTTCCGCAAACATATCGGCATTGAACATGTCTTCACCGGGCGAAGACGAGAAAGTCAAGAGTCGTGAAGGGTCGTTACCAGGGTTCGGGCTGCCTAGGGCTATGGTCTTGATGAGGTGAGCCATAGACATTTCTATGTTGAGCTTGACCAGGTATGCAAGAGGATGGAACATAGCATAGCTGTAAAAGTTAGTCGCGTTGAGCGAGGGTGCACTTGAGCAAGCCAAACTCACACAAATCCATTGGGGATGCTCATCGCGCCAATGATCAAGACGTCCAACAGGAGAGAGACGACAATGATGCGCTTGTTGAAACGGACCAGGCGATTGTACTTGCTTAAGCCGTTCTTAACCAGATCCGCATTGACGACGCGAATGAAGTACCAATTGAGGTATCCATCGAGGAGAAGAAATAATACTTTCTCGGTGCGATCCCAAATAGCGTTAATTCGAACCCAACTGCGTCCATTAGTGGGCGTACTTGTGAAAAACGGATTGCAGGCGCACTTTGAGCTTATTTGCAGCCGCGCAGGTATCCAGATGATGAACACGCTGATATTGATCAAGGTCACATAGATCGCGGCGCCTGCGACGAGGCGCCGGCCTTTGACTCGATCCCCAAGGATGATGCGAATGCGATTGATGATGATTTGAGGCAGTAATTGAATTTGAAAAACCCAGCAAAGCACTGCTGATGTCAGCCAAGTACAGATGCCAAGGCTACGGTATACTTGCGGACTGAGAAGAAGAAGTAAAAGCTAGGTTCTATAATCCTCAACAGATACAACAGGCAATCGATGGCGAGAGCTACCGAAGCCGCGATTTCCAGCCAAACCATCCAGATATAGAGACTGGTCCTCGGGCGCCGACATGCTTTCGTCTGCCTAATGGCGATGAAGGCTGCGGTTATGGCGAAGAAGTTGGTCAACCCGAATGCTGCAGCCGCTACAGCTATGTCCGCGCGGGTCACACGTATAGGGCGGTAGTTGTCGCGAACAAACGGACCCCAAGCACCGAAATCTTGGGGTGGAGCGATCTCTTCGCCCATGGGGAGTCCTAGGAGGCATTCGTTGCGGATGTCGTGGGATGCATAGCGAGATGTGAGGTAGAGCCTACCAAGGCTATTAAGAAAATTTCGTTGTTTGAAGCGGCCCGTGGCTTGCACTATTGGGGGATCGCGGAGCCGATGGCGCTACCCCACAAAGTTCAGGATGTAAAGATCCGGTAACGACAAGGGACCTTCGACGCGCGTGCATGATAGGCGTTCCATCGGAATGACACCTGAGCTCTGCACATCACGATACACCTCGATGCGAACACTTCTTACAACGGAATTGGATCGCTTGAGATGCCTCGAGCAAAACAACGGACTATAATGACGTCGATCGTATCTTGGATGGCTGTCGGGATCTTGGGCCGCATATGCTGATTGGGCGAGTTGCGAATGAGATGAGATGGTAGCTTTAGTTTGCTTCTCTAGGTGTCTGTTAGAGTTGCGAGTAGTAATGTTTAGTATGTATTCTATAAAAGCAAAAGTAGCAGAACTATAAGTATAAATCTTATAATACTATAGTTACTTATTTCTAAAAGTAGAAATTTTACGTAAGCTACGCTTAACTTCTTTTTATTACTATAAATTTCTACTAATATTATTATATTTACTATTTACTATAAATTAAATACTTTTTACTTCTTTAGCTTATTCTAGCTATAATAAGTTTAGTAATATAGTTATAGTTAAGAATAATTTTAGTTTATATTACTAACTTATATTAGGTATAATTTTTTAGTTAGAAGCTTAGTATAGCTTATACTAATTAAGTATTAAAGTAATTACTATTAAGCTAGTGCCTATATACACTATAAAAAATACTATCTTATATTTTTTAAGTAATATTATTTTATTTATAAATAAAAAAATAACAGCGCTTAAAACGCTTTTTTAATATACTATTAAAGCTCTTAATACTAAAGCTATAACTTTTATTATTAGTTAATAACTATAGTTACTAAATGTTAATAATAATTAAAGCTACTAAAATTACTAACTACTTAACTTATAAGCTAGAGAAGTAGTAGAATAGATAGAAGAATTTATAGAATAGTTAGAATATATAAAAAAGAACTTAGTAGATTATACTATAGAGACTAGATAAATTAATTAGTGTATTCTAATGCCTAATACCTCTAAAATAATACTAGACACTGGGGGATAGTTTGCTTCTCCTCAACAGCAGCTAACAGTGTCTTTGCTGCAAGCTGAGTGCTGATCGCGATGGTTATGACCCTCTGGGCACCGCGTGGTTTAGGGTAGCGGATCTCGGTGGTTTTCAGTGGTAGTGCCTCCGGCCGAGCGCACTTGCCATATTTCTAGGTTCATCTTCATTACGTGAGAAAGACGCTGCCGTACATCACAGTGTCTAGTAATTGAAAAGGCGCATATATCTGACTGCGTTTTCGTTGGTAGTTGTAAGATGGGTAGATATGCTGCAGAAATGCCCGACGTTGTGCTGATGGATTTGGCGGTGACTGATGCGAGGGGGTTGTGACGTATGAAGATCGGCGCCGCTCACTTAGCTTATCTTACATAATCACCCAAATGGGCTGACAGGACTCCGCTCACTTCCGTCGACAGATATCCCCACACTATGCATAGATCTCGCTCAAACAATGGCGCAATGTAGCGCAGGAGATTTTCGACCCGGAGGACACGATGGGGACATCTGCTGATACGCTAGTAGGACTTGGCACGCAGAATGAGAAGACGTCAACTGAAGCTACACCGAGTACAATACATTCACGAACACACTGTCGATTTTGGTGATGGCTTCATGAGCGAACTATTGGGGACTGGAGTCTGGATGCTTTCCCTTACTGGACCCTGCTATATACATGAAGATCTCATCAGTGCTCTCATTACGTGGCTCGTTCCCTTCTGGATTATCGACACCTTCAAAACCTCCTCCATGTGCCCCGCTTGCTATATTCACCGAAGCCTGAACCAACTGTCTCCGAAGGCGCGGTACATAATGTGGCCCTGAATCATAGGCGAGTTATTGAACACATCCAACCAATCGCAAATCTGTTCCATAGTCGGACCCTCGGATAGCACATGGTACAAAATCTGATCCCGAATCTCAGCTGGTATGGATTCGAGGGTCAGACGCCGAACATGATCGCTCTGGCTTCCATGCTGGCTACTCTGGGAGTGTTGGAGTTCGAAAATCGGTTTAGAAGAACAGTGTATTTCCTGCGCCCTGAAGTCGACCCGAGGGAAGACTCCGCTTGATGCGACTCCTGACTGCAGGGCCTGGAGTTGAAGTGCTTGACCTAAGGAGAGAAATTGATCTACTGTAAGATCGCGAGCTGGGTAGGATAGCCTCAGAGTGTAGAACCGCGTCATTTCCAGGAAGTCTGGTGGTGCTCGTACATCGTAAACGTATGGCCCCGGGCCCGGCCCCGGCTGTGTGACTAAGATACGAAGATGCGCCGCATGCCCATACTGTTTGACAGGCAATGGGCGAAAGCAAGTGTTCTCGACGATATGTTGGAGACGCGCGTTGTAGTGTTTCGCCCATTCGTACTCGAAGTCGAAGGCAACCTTCTTGCACGACAGAAGAAGACCGGCATAAGGTGCGAGATTACCTGGGCCAGGTGCTTTCGGAGCGGCGGCAAGAACGTATTTGTAGACCTTGACTTGGAGCTCGGCGGGAAGAGTCAAGAAGCCATCGGGCTGGGTTGCGGCGGCCATAGTGATTTTGCGAAAGGTACGCGGTATGTGTTGAGGGGGTTGTTGTAGGTTGATAGGACGATCTTCTGTGTTATGCAGTCAATAGAGCACGGAATATATATGCGAAGTGGTAGCCATAGGCAGCCGTGTATGCACCCGCATATTCACTACGTGCATAACGCAATAACGATGCGGCTACTTCCTCATATCCACCTTTCTTTCGGATCTACAGTCTTCTTAACGCAGTAACGATTCCCGTCATACATTCTTCATAGAGCTCACAGGCATTAATACCACTTACTGTGGTACTTGTCTAAAGCTTCCCAAGTCAATTGGTGTAGAGTATTGTTAGAAAACAGGATTGACGACAGTAGTGACGGTTTTAATGGAAATGAATGTACAGCTAAGGAGTTGACAAAGAGCCCAAGACACGAAAAATGAATCGGATAACATATCCCTCTCGAACTAGAAGTATTGTAGACTATGGTTGAGTACGGGAACGACCATTTCGACGCACAACTCTGGTAAACCACCGTTATCGACTTATCAACCCGACCAATGTACACACTCAAAGTCCCTCACGGGAAGACTTGAAGCCCGCGCGCGAAACCCGAACGAAGCATCTCAGACAAAAGGACTCGGGCAGCATACCGAGGGTCTACAACCCGGATTGGCATCCGTAGAAAAGAGTGGGGAAAGCTCATGCACGACATGTTATCTATTGCCTCGACTCGTATAGCGTGATCCTAGCTACCCGCATCACGGGACCAAGCGAACGCAGAATACACCAGTAGGATTGGCTTAATCTTCGCCCATCTAGGAAGCGGAGAAACAGTGAAAGGATAACGACTTTCCCAAGTTGCGATTTTGTGGTTGAGCCGCTGTTGCACCGCGCTCGCACTGGTCGGCATGTGAGCTAGATAGCGGGCCAGCAATTTCACTTCCTAGTTCGCCACCGATACTTAGGACACATCAATACCTCTTACCTGAGTTGCGATAGAGCTTCCAACCTCGCAACCCTTGGGATCATAATCGTGTTATTCATTCTCGAATTCATTCCGCCGACGTGAAATGGCGCCACAGACGTCAATACCTCTAGCTGCGAACGTACTCGGGACCATTGGAACAGTGTTCTGGTGCGTCCAATTACTACCGCAAATATACCGGAACTGGAGAACCAAGAAAACAGATGGACTGCCTGAGTCCATGATGCTGCTATGGTCAATTAGTGGAGTGCCCTTCGGAGTGTACGCCATCGCGCAGCAATTCAACATCCCGCTTATCGTCCAGCCGCAGTGCTTCTGTGTGTTGTGCGGTGTTAGTTGGGCGCAGTGTCTGATTTACAGCCGGTGAGTCCATCGAAATGAAACCACATTGCCTGTCAAGATCGGACGGCTAACCAGGATTAGGAAATGGCGAACCTGGACTGCATCTCTTCTGCTCTTCGCTCTTCTCGTCTTATTCGCAGGGGTTGAAGTTGGTCTTGTTTATGCTATCCGACAGCCATACGCCGACGGGTTGGAGTGG